AATGTTATCCGAAAGATTGATTAAATTTTATGCAGACGTTTCTCAATCTCTTTTCTTTGAAGTTCCCTGAATGTTTTTCAGACTTTTCATAGAACTTTCTTCAAACTTCCTCCAGAAGAGCTTATTTCTTCTTTGTCTGGAAGTTTTTCAGCTTCCTTCATAATTTTTTCCGCTTTCTGCTGGATTTAAAAGTTCTGTTATTAGTAGTAATGTTTAAATTTTCGCCTCTAAAAATGCCAAAATATAAAAGTAATTAAAATAGTAAATACCGATACATATCGTTTTTTTTTTAAACCTTTGATACCGATAAGACTTAAAACAATCAGACAACGCTGCTTGTAGTTCACTTTGTCACTCGCCTATAGAGTCGACTATCGGTGGGGTGAGTGGGGTGAGAATTGTCACCTCACCTGCGGCGCCGCGCAGAATAAGCCTCACTAGTTTGGAACCGTGGACTTCAACGGCATGCAAGTGGCGAGATAAAGAAAGGGAGGTTGCGGGCAAAACAAGCAGAAGCAAACAGAAAGTCACCTCCTGTCGACTCCGGCGGGCTGAAATCCGACACTTAAGGCACCTTGTTCTTGGGGTAAAATGCACCAGCTAAGGAAATCAAGGTGTTTTTTTCGCTAAAATTTAAAGCAACAGTGAATGTCATGAATTGCCTAAATTATCTTAAGCATGTTTCAGTTGTTTATATTCGTTAACATTTAACATTTTTTAACATTTGGGAAATGGCTCTAATGTTGGTCTATGGATCTAAGATTGGGCCCATCGCTAAAAATCTGCTATTTATCAATTTGATCTAGATGAACGCGTCATTGGGACGGTACTAATGGATATTTTTGGTCGCTTTTGAAAATTTAGTCAATTGCTGAATTTATTTATGGGCCCAAAGAAGGAGCATTTAGGTAGACTTTACATCCATTTCCCCTACATGATAACTTTGAAAACTTAGCTTGAGCTTGAGCTTGAGCTTGATTGACCGCCCACGGTTGCTACTCTGTTACTGCCAGATCAACTGTAATTACACAGAGAACCAATAGACGATGCTTGGGACTAGCAATCATCCTCAATGTGTAAAAACTGGTGATCTTAAATTAGGCAATACCAGCGCCGGCCGCGCCCGAACACAGGTCCAGAAAGGAATGGGAAGGATTGTGTTGACATGACACTCGCTTTGATGGAAGCCGAGAACACCTCTGCACTGCCACGAGGAATCACTGGGATGTTGGATAAGAGGGTTGGGTTTGCAGCAGGGTTCGTTTTGGTAAACGATAAGCTGAATTGATGTCCTAACGATCATATAACGCGAAGGAGCTTGGGACCTGAGTGGTGCGAAGACGGACCTCAAAATCGAACCACTTTCGAGCTGTCAAATCGAACCACTTTTTTTATCATTGTGGTTCGTTGAAATAGATAGAAGTATTGTTATCGTCCAAAATAAAAAAATAAATATTTTTCAGTTATGTTTTTGATCTTTTTAAAAACGTGATTCGAAACGACTCAAACAATTAAAAATAACAGTATTATTGCGTATTTTGGACCAAAGTAGACTCCTGCGCTAAAAAAAAACCCCTCCGATTTTTTTTTCGCTCAGGAACGACTGTGACTCGGAGAACGTTCTAAGGAGATTTGTGATGATAGTACAAAAGTTCCAGGAAATTTCAACAGATTTTTCCCGCGACAGAAGAGGTTTCAGTGGATATTTTAGTTGCTGCCAGCGAGGTTCTACGGGGGTTCTATAGAGTTTTCATGTTCGAGTTTCACACGATTTGGAGGGAAGTTAAATCGTTGCCATTGGAGGTCCCATCTTTATCCATCTTTATAATTGCAAAAGTGAGCAAAACACTTCATTCTGAATTTTATTCCACTCCGTAAAAACTCCAGCTATGAACAATGTCAACAAACAATCACAAAGTCACGAATCGGCTCTGCACAAAAAGCCGTTTGACACTTCTCTCTACCAACCGACGGTGATGAAACGCTTATTTCAACACTACCAACATGAAGAAAATTTCACTTCGCACCACTCAGCTTGGGACTAAACCCACGGTCTTCTGCTCAGTAAGCAAAAACGTTTGCCACTAGGCAGACGAGCACCTTTTTAATCATCGAGTTGCTGTTATTACCATGTAGTCATAAAGGGTGATACGGTCAAAATTTGGTCAAGGGAAAACGCGTGTAAATCGGTGAAATCGTTTATTTAAAAAATCAAATTAAATTTCTTTTTCAAGTTCAATTAGTATAAAATTCAGGAAAAATATTCAGTTAGGCTTCCGCTTTTCCAAATCCGAATTGCCGGGCCTTACGCTTGACCCCTGCCATCAGATTTTGTACAGCCACCTTGTCCACCTTCTTCGCCGCAGAAAGCCAGTTTGCCTTGAACTGCTGCTCGCCCTTAGCAGTTTTTTGGTCTTCTTTAGGTTCCGCTTGACAATAGCCCAGTATTTCTCAATTGGGCGGAGCTCTGGCGTGTTGGGAGGGTTCTTGTCCTTGGGAACCACCTGCACGTTGTTGGCGGCGTACCACTCCATGGCCTTTTTACCGTAATGGCAAGATGCCAAATCCGGCCAAAACAGTACGGAACAACCGTGTTTCTTCAGGAAAGGCAGCAGACGTTTATTCAAACACTCTTTCACGTAAATTTCTTGGTTGACAGTCCCGAAAGCTATGAAAATGCTGCTTTTCAAGCCACAGGTACAGATGGCTTGCCAAACCAGATATTTCTTTGCGAACTTTGACAGTTTCATGTGCTTGAAAACATCTGCTACCTTTCCCCTTCCTTTTGCCGTATAAAACTCCTGTCCCGGAAGCTGCTTGTAGTCATGTTTGACGTAGGTTTCGTCGTCCATTACCACGCAGTCAAACTTCGTCAGCATCGTCGTGTACAGCCTCCGGGATCGCGCTTTGGCCGTCGTATTTTGTTTATCATCGCGATTTGGAGTCACTACCTTCTTGTAAGTCGATAGTCCGGCTCGTTTTGTGGCTCGATGCACGGTTGTAGACGATACACCCAGCTTATTTGCGGCATCTCGGAGAGAGAGGTTAGGGTTTCGCTTGAAACTACCGGCAACTCTCTTTGTCGTCTCAGCGGCTTCCGGTTTTCGATTTCCCCCCGATCCAGACTTCCTGGCTGTCGACAAACGTTCCCCAAACACTTTAATTACATTTGTAACGGTTGATTTGGCAACTTTTAGCGATTTTGCCAACTTTGCGTGCGAGTAGCTCGGATTTTCGCGATGCGCGAGCAAAATTTTGATACGCTGCTCTTCTTGCTTGGACGGCATTTTGACAACTGAAGAGTGAATTCCAAAATCAAAATAGGAGCAACATTCTACACACACAAACCTTCAAAATGAGGGGTGTTCAGGTTTTTTAAATGCAACATTGAAAGAAATACGTCAAGTTGATATTGACCAAATTTTGACCGTATCACCCTTTATTAACAAATTAAACGATTGACGAATCTTGAATGTGGATGGGCCTGAGATTAGACTCATGATGTTCTGCTCAGTAAGCAAAAACGGTTGCTCTAAGGCCACCGAGCCCCTCATATCACATAATACCGTTGTGTATCCATTCAAACCCGGAACCAACGACAACAACGAGTTTCGCAAAATACACGATACACAAGCGATTTTACCATAAATCTTTTTGATATGTAAGGACCTGGGACAGCGTGTTTCTGCTCAGTAAGCAGGCCACTGTAACCGACGATCTTTCAAATCCAAAAACTAAAAACTACGAAAAAGTACTTAGGCCCTCATTAAGTTCCACTTTCACGCGACGTTCAATGACAGGGTCCTATCCAGGATTACATCTGAAAAATCCAAATCTGGCCAACGCCCACCTAAACCTGTTCTAATCCACCTGAAATGACTAACGAATGGAAGACTTTGACTACCCAGCCATGCAATAGTCTCATTCCGTGCCTTATGGCAACTTGATGATTCTATTGCGCTCATCTTTTGGCACCACCCAGGGAAGACTTGGTCCTGTACCCAATGCTTAACTTATCTCCATTCCACTCAGCTACTCGCAATTTCTTGTGATATAGTGGGCGGAATATTATTATATGGGACAATTCAATGCAGACGTCTTTCCAAATTTGGCACATCGACAGGTAATTGGTGAGTTACCACGATAGTTGCTATTCAACAACTCGACAACGTCCCATCGTCAACGCCTGCTATGAGAATTTCCCATTGCATACGTCATCGAGCTATCGATCAACTACCCTGGTTATCGCCTGGTACCTTATAGCACGATGCTAGGAGGCGAACCGGAAGAATCGATGAGCTACCTCTCCCCCTACATGATAACTTTGAAAACTTACCTTAAAAAGTGACTTTAGAAATTGATCAAATAATCTGCCACTAATTGGGGCTAAATTGCATTACAAAAAAGGGGCAAGCACCATAATGATGAGGCAAAATTCACCCCAACAATGGGGCAAAATGCACTACAATAATAGGACAATGGGCCTTATTACGGGTGTCACTACACGGTGATAAGCAAGTGATACTCAGAATAAGAGCCGTGATTACCGTACAAATCAAATGGGAATCACTTCACCGTGACGACAAGTGACAACTTTTCACCGTGATGTGACACCCGTAATAAGCCCCAATATGACGCTCCTTGCATTAACCAATTGAGGCAAAAGAACGTCTTCGTTTTTGGCGGCCTCCAGTTCCGATCGTAGTTGTTCTAAGGTGCATGACCGCATACTTTGGAACGTTGTGGACCAGTTCTGAAGAAAGAATAGAACGTAAACAAAGCTTGCATTTTGCCCCGAACTTTGGAGTGCATTTTGCCCCGAATGTATAATGAAAATGGTTTTGATCATAAATTAGAAATACATATTAAAACTTACCAGTATTTGATCAGAAAAAAATGTAGCTCTGATCTCAATCAAATGGGTAATATCTTTAACCGACGCTTAATAGTGTTTAAATCGCTTCAGACATTTCGGATCAAAAGATACCAACTTACAGATGTCAGTAGAACATGCCTAATATATTTCCGGTAAAATCATGTTGAACGTGTGTAGCCGGCGACCAGGTTCACCAGTAAACGAAATTTCAAACAGTTCGTGCTAACTACGTATAGCTAGATGTTCGTTAATCCGAACAACATTGTGATGTACCTAAGGCTGAAAAAAAAACAAGAGTTTGGAACACATATCTCTAGCTATAGGTACATAGCTAGTGTTCACGAACAGTACACGTAAATACCCATGAATCGAGGACACTATCATGCCTCACAACAAAAGTGTCATCCTTGTGTGCTACACTGATGATGTGTTGTAAATAAATAAATAAATAAATTTACATAAATCTTCGCAAGCACTGCTTTACTAACAATTAAACTGAGCATATAATCCGCATAGTGCTATTTTCTTTTTTGCTGTGTGTGTGTGTGTTTTAAACTATTACAATTATTACAAGCTAATAATGTGTATACTTTGGATGGCGATTCTCAATCACACTTTATAATAAATTGTTGAACAGTTTATATAGAGCAGAAGAGCGTTGTAGCGAGTTAATACATTCGCGATTTTCCCTTTCTTTTTCTTTTTTTTTTACCTAGCCTTAGAACGAGCAGATATACAGACTTGCGTTGCTTTCTGGGGTGCTTCGCTATTGTAAATAGTAAGTTTGAAAATAGAAATAAAATCTACATTAATTTCGGCTACGTATACATAAAAACTTATCTGCCCTCTTTTTTACGTATTGAACGAGCAACTCTCGTCTGGAAACGAATCGGAAACGAATAATCGACGATAGGTAGTAAGATTGTAGCTTGCAAGATTTAATTGGTTTAGGCTACCGGGGTAGATATTGATAGATATAGATTTAGCAGATTGAGTTTTAAAAACGACAAGACAAGAACACCTACGTAGCATATATGTTATGTATATATAATAATATTAATGTAAATAGCCTAACTGCAATCAATTTCCGTAAAAACCTGTTTCTATCTTGTTAGGATATATCATGCAACTTCACGTGCTGTCTCTGATTGACGAAGCGATTGATTTAGATCCTACCATTTTTTAAACCGTTACTACTGTTGAGGCCGTTTGTCTGTGGCGTTCGATAGGTGTAGAGCGATTGAAGCGGCACGTGCAGGAGTTCAACGACCTGCGTGAAATTTTTCTCTGAAAAAAAACACGAGAATTTATCAAAAGACTTCTTCAAACATCCCACAATGGTTACCATTTTCCGGAGTGATAATTCCATGGCGAATCATGAAGTCAACTACCACCGGACAACTGGTTGTCTTGAAGTCCGGTGCGTATAACCTCTCCAGGCACTCCTTGGCCGGTAGCAGCTGAAAGTCTTGCACCTCTCCGTCGCTGTTTTCAGGCACGAAGTCTTCCGGCAGCTGTAGATCGTAGACGAATTCCGTGTTCGGGAACAGACCCCGTTCGCTTTCGAAAAAGAACGATACACAACCGGCGGAGACCAGGTCCCGTAGCAGGCGCTCCGGAATGGATGCTTCCTCGGCGGCTTCCTTGACTGCCGTCTCGTGAATGCCGTAGCCCACGGACAGTCCTCCGCTGACCATGTTGTCCCACTTGCCGGGCCATGTCTGCTTGGTGTCCGCCCGTTGCTGCAGCCAAATGCACAGACCCTTGGTGGGATGCTGGATGTACCCGTTGATTGTGACGCCAAAGTTACGCACCCCGAACAGGGACGTGGCCGAGCGTTCCATTTTCATGAGCGAACCGACGGCACTCCGAACTTCGTAGCATTCGTTGCGCCATCCTTTCAGGGCCACGAATACGCCCTGGGAGCGGAACTCTTTCAGCACCCGATCGACCTGTTCCGAACGTTCGGTGTAGTCCCGGAAGGCCGGATTCAGCTCGACGATGTTCTGTGTGAAATCGAAAGGAAGTTGATAAGTGTAAGAGCGTTGTTCTGTCTGTGTGTTTTGGGGGGCCGATCCAAAGACTTATCAGCACTTGTTTAAAGTTATTTGTGACGTTCCATAGCTGTTGTGATAAGCATTGTGCGTAATTGCTGGCTATCTCGTTTAAACTTGTATTGTACCTCCGGGCTGTTGACAGTCACGGTGTTCATAGAATGAGTGCGTCACGAAATTGTTAACAATTCAATTTTTTTTTCTTCAGGGATTTATTTTAAATCTAGTACTAACTATTTAAAAGATCAAAAGGTTCGCGAAAGTAAACAGATCGGTGACTAGATAATGTTTCTGCAGATTAAATTTACTACCAACTTGTTGACTGTGTTGATACAATAGCGACTTAGGATGTATTTGAAGCACATTCAAGATTTCCAGGGCGCAGTGAGGTATCAAAATAAGGGGCAAAGATAGATAGTTATTAGAGATGGACTTACTGAGCGAACCTGACCCTTTCAGCTCACTAAGGTGAACTGGTTCTTTAGAACAGCTCTTCAGTTTATTTTGAAATAATAAAAAAATGAAAAGTAATTTTAACGCTGGATTAGCTTAATTTAAATATTCTAAACCTATAAATTCGTAGCTTACAGCGTGACTATACTTTTCTACTGCTATTACGCATGACGAAACTGAGTCATTCAACAGCCACTGCGTAAACCAAAATGCGCCTGGTGAGTAATTCAAAATGTACCTACTGATTGATAGCATGCCATGCGAGCAAACTTTCAAAGGGCATGTAAATAGAAAGCGGCTGGGAAAAACTGTACCTCGTCTAATCCAATATAGGTGTAACTTTTCTTGCTGATATTTATTATTCCAGCAGACTGGCTCTCACCATTCATCACTGGAAGGGAGGCGAAGATCCAAGCAAAATCTAAACATTAATGACCCAGTCGAACAGTGTTGGCAAAATCATCAATCAAATGATATTTTTCCACTCTCATACGCTCTCAATATCACGCGTGATATTGGAACAAAATATCATGCTTGATATTGATTTTACAAGCTCCTTTGATATTGCGAGACTATTCACAAGTGCAAAAATCAAGCTGAGAGTTGACTCGACACAAAAATGATTCCGTTGCACATCGTTTGCTTAGAAAGAGAAAGTATAGTTTGCTATCTCTTTTTACTCTTCACCGATAACAAACACGAAGTGACTGCTGGCAGCCGTTATGGAAGTTTCGGTTGCGTTCGGGTGTAAAGTAAAAATCATGAAGCTCAATCTCACCACAGTTTGTTGAGATTTTGATATTCCGAGCTGCGATATCACAGCTTGCAAAATCAATCGCAGTTGTTTGCTTGTTGATTTTTGTCTACGAAAATCAAGCGTGATCTTGGGCATTGGTGAGATTTGATTTTTTGATATTTTCCCAACACTGCAGTCGAATAATTTGTATTCTTTATCTGAAGACGCTGAGTGTTCACTCGGCTGTCGACAGAAGCAGACCACTCTCAATGTGTGTCACGCGATTGTCTGTTTACTCGGCAGCAACCATTGTCTGGTCCTCCTCATTGTTCTTCATCAGCAGTTCTTTCGGTCGATGCGTCGTCGACTTTGGAAAGCAACCGTTTCGTGATGAATGTGTGAGTGCTGACCACGTTTTGCGTTCATTGCTGCAATGGAAGCACTCTGACTCCCGTTGGGGAATCTGCCATACAATGAAGCCACTGAAAGCGGCTCCCATTCTGGTGCAGGAGGCTTATTGGATAGCGGAAGATAAAATGTTTATTGTGTTGTATCTTTTGACTATAGTTTTAAGGGGAAGCTCACCGGCCCAAAAATAAAAAAAATATTTTCGGTACGTTTTTATTTTTCTAAAAATATTGGGAAAAATTATCAAAAATCCAAGAAAATCAGTTTCTTCCTTAGATTTTTGTCAAAAATTACATGCAAAAAATTTTTTTCTATCCCATCATGAAAAAAAATTGGACTCTCAGAAAAACCGAAAAGTTGATGTTTTGTGGTTTTTTGAGTCCAACTTTATGCCATAATGACTTATAAAACATGTTTTTGCACGTGAATTTTCCTTAAAAAATTAGAAAAAATGTGATTTTTTTAGATTTTTGAAACTTTTTTTTCAATATTTTTAGAAAAATCAAAACGTAATTATTTTTTTCGAAGCGGTGAACTTCCCCTTAAGATGTATTGTACAATGAACAGTAATCCTCGACTCTGTAAAGTTAAATCGGTTGAGCCTTATCAAATAAATTAATAAACAAAACCAAATCCGGAGACGCCAACGATTTAAAAAAAAACTGACATTTGGATTTACTTGCAAACATGCAAATTTATGAACTTTTAATGATTTTTTTTTTCAATTTGCTTATTGTGTAAGACTTCACTGCTAAAAGAAAACTTTACGGAGCCGAAAGTATTTAAATCAACGGTTCCCTGCGCTTTGGTCAGAGAGCTTATAGGGTGTCTTTGTGGCACATTTCGAGTATTGCAGTTAGCTCAAAAGTGCCTTAGAAAATGCAAGTACTTTCGCGGATTACCCGAAGTTGCGATAGCAGGGCGATATGCGATATAATAGTAGTGACTTTAGTGACTAAAATTACGAAAATAGTGACCAAATAGTGACTTATGAATAATAAATATGGTAACTCAGAAATTCGAATACGGTTTGCTATTGAAATGACTTCCATTTTTTGTCATGGAACCTAAAATTACATTTAATAAATTCCTCTAATTATATCGATTTGAAAAGTTCTCTTTTGATTACATTTTACATGATGACCAGAAAATATCAATTTTAAAATTGTTCGGGGTTTCCTGGAGTTTCGTAAATTTTACTGGTTGTGCGACATACATTTAAGCTAATGTATAATCCAATGAAGCCATTAGGTTAAATAGGGTTAACTACAACTGCAGTATTATTCGTAGATTTCAAATTTGTTTCTGCGTTCGAAATCTTAAAAAAATCTATGTATCTAGATAAGTTATCCTTGATTATTAGCCAGAAATTTATCGCAATGGTCTCAGGACATTTTAACAATCATTAATTTACTTGAAGTCTCCTGAAACTTAGAAATGTCTTAAATTTCTGTTCTGAATTATTTTGGACCACGAATTCGTATTCTCTTGGAAACGTTCCATGGTATTTCTTCGGAATTCTCAACAAAAAATCCATCTCACAATTCCCTTGAAACTCTTCTCACAGTTCCATTTTGATTCTATTGGAATTTCATTCGAATTCTTGGAATCATCCTCAGAAATCGCCCCAAAATTCCTTTACTATTCGCTGAGTTTGGAGACCTTTGGAGTTCACGAGGTTTGCTTAAATAATTTATCAGAACTTATTGTAAAAACTTATAAACTTATTCTAGAATTTGGACAAAGAATCCTCGTCCAATCGTCATAGAATTCTTTTCAGATCACTCGTCTAGAGCTCGCGTCTCAATTATCTTGGAATTCTTCCAAAAATTGTTTTGAAGCTGAATTTTGCGTTTTTAATCAAGTTTTAATCAAAAGTGAACCTCGTTTGTGTCAGTCTCAGGGTCGATTTTTTCACCTCCGCTTAAGCCTTAAAACAGTTTTAAGATTTAAGCGGAGGTGAACAAACCGACCCTCAGAGCACCTAAATTTACAAGAGACTTTCGTTTTGTGTAGTTTGGCATTCTTCTCTGAAATATCTTGGTATCATCCGTAGAATTCCTTTGATATTCATTTAAAATTTCCTTTGGAATTTTCATTGATATTTCAAGATAATTCATTAAAGACTTCTGAAAATCTAGCATAGACCAATATCTTTGAAAAGTTTCCAAGGTGCAGAATTTATTTTCGAGAAAAAGAAGTTTATTTTCTCCGATTTGTCCTCGAAATTCAAAACTATTCCTAGTTTGATTCCCGGTGTTTTAAAATTCCTTGAATTTGTCCGGTTATAATTGTTGAGTTTTGACAGATATGCATATTTCGTCATAAGGAAAATAGTGACTTTTTAGTTGCTGACTTGAAAATAGTGACCAAGCCACTAAAAAGTGATCTGCTACCAGCCCTGCAATAAGGAAGATATGATCACAGACAAGTAGAGGCAACACTCTCAAAATGTTCATCGAAATAGCTTTTAACGGTAGCTTTAATTGTTCTAAGTTGATAGTACCGTCACTTGTGGCGCGCATAATCAATTTCCTTGCGTTTGGCAATTATACACTACAGTCATCTATTGAGTGTATTACCCATCACACTGTACACTGTATATGATAGATGGCGGTAGTGTTTACTATGAAAAATGTTCAATATGTTGTGTCTGTTTGTCTGTGTTATAATATTGAGGTAACGTTAGGATAAAATTAAAAGATAGTAGTAGGTTCTGCTCGAGAGTGGTTGATTTTCGATTGGCTGTCACGTTTTTGCTTCGGTTAGAATTTTCCTTTAGAGCCTTTGAATTTAAGTAAAAGTTTCCATTAATGCCGCGTGTTACCACCATATCCTGTGTTCGGTAGTTGGTTAAGTCATATACGCGAAAACGTTTTTAAATAATCGGAAGAGGAGGATCCATTGTGTGCTAAGGAGGATGTGTATGAGCAAGTGTAATCGAAATCAGACTTGTTACAGATCATTCCGGTGAATCACGAAATGAGATGCAAAGCGTAGAGAAAACTTGCACCGTTGGGTTCGTGGAGCGGAATCGACGGAACTATTGTGTCAGACGGTTTTGGACGAAAAGAACGCAGCGCGGGCGGCGATGCTGCAGCAAGGAACCCGTCATAATGTGGAGCGATATAAACAGAAGCGAAGACAGCAAACCCATCTTTTCCGGGATAAGAAGCGCCGCCTGGAAGAGCTGGAGTGCGAAGAAATGGAGCAGCTGTATCGTTCTCAAGAAACACGCAAGTTCTACAAGAAACTCAACGCATCCCGCCGAAGAAATGTGTCTGGATAAGGAAGGGGGTATCTTAACGGACGAACGTGAAGTGATTGAAAGGTGGAAGCAGCACTACGATGAACA